TATGTAGGATTTTTGTAGATGACTTTTACCAGGTGGAAAAAGTTCCTTTTAATGCCTTATTTGTTGAGAGTTTTTATGAAAAATGGGTGTTGGATTTTTTCAGATGCTTTTCTATGTCTACTGAGGTGATCATATGGTTTTTGTCTTTTATTCTATTAATATTACATTAGTTGATTTTTAGATATTAAAAAATATCCATTAATTATGGTATATCTTCTTTTTTATATGTTGTTGAATTTAGTTTGCTAATATTTTGCTAAAAAGTTTTGTATTCATGTCCATGAGGGATATTTTCAGTCTTTTTTTCACATGTTATATTTCTCTGCCTTTGGTAATAGGGTAATACTGGTCTTAAGGAATGAATTAAGATGTTTTCCCTTCTGTATTTTCTAAAAATGTATGCAAAAGATTGGTATCATTTCTCCTTTAAATATTTGATGAAATTTACCAGCAAAGCCATATGGACCTGTGCTTCTTTTTATCACAATATTTTAAATTACTAATTTATTTCCTTTATTTGTTACAAGCCTATTCAGATTTTCTAGTTTTTTCTTGAGTTAGTTCTGTGTTTTTCTAGGAATTTAATTTGTCTGTATCTTTCTAAGAATTTGCATCTTCCTAGGACTTTGCCCATTCCATATAAATTGTCTCATTTATTGTGATACAGTTGTTCATAGTATTCCCATATGATCTTTTCAATTTCTATAGGGTCAATAATGACCCTTTTTATGCTTAGTGCATGCTTAGTGTACCTTTTTATTCCTCTGTTGATTTTTTTGACTATATATATGTTTAGTTATTTTCCTAGTTGTTGTTTTAGGACTTAAAAAGGAAAAAGAACTCTTTCTCTTCTCAACACTCTACTCCCAATACTTCTAACAGCAGACGTGTAGAGGTTTTCCTCACACCGAGCAATTCTCCATTTCTCTGTGGATACTAACTTGGTGTCCTCCAATTCATGTCAATTCTGACATGATTTACTCAGGATTGGTGCAGACCCTACATGTTAAGAGTTCAGTCTCACAAGACTGTACCCCTTCCCCCTCTTCATACACCAATGTCAAATCCAAGTTGTCACCTGTGCTTCTGACTGTCTGACTATAAACTGGAGATTCCCAGGACCCCTTCTTTGGGTGCAATGATTTGTTAGAATGGCTCAAAGAACTCAGGAAAACAGTTTACTTACTATATTACCAATTTATTATAAAAACATACAATTCAGGGACAGCCAAATGGAAGAGATACATGTAGCAAGGTATGGGGGAAGGAACATAGAGCTTTCATGTCCTCTTCAAGGATCCCACCCTCCCAGCATCTTCATGCATTCAACCTGGAAGCTCTCTGAATTCTGTATTTTAGAGATTTTATGGAGGTTTTATTATTTAGGTATAATTGATTAAATCAATGGCCATTGGTCATTCACTCAACCTCCAGCTCTTTTCCCTTCCCTGGAGATCAGGGGATTAAAGTTGAAAGTTCCAACTCTATAATCACAGGGTTGGTTCCCTAGGCAACTAGCCCTCATCTCAAGGTTATTCAGAAGCCCCCAGCCACCAGTCATCATTGTTAACATATTAACAGATATATCACTTTGTAGATTCCAAGGGTTTTAGGAGATGTGTGCCAAGAAATGAAGGCAGAGACCAAATTTACATATCTTATTGTTTCTCAGGTATGTAATATGCATCTTAAGTAATCATAACCAACTTTTCAATATAATACTAACTTAATTCCAAAAAATATAAAGAGATTGGTCTAATATATCTCTTTTTCCTTTCCTTCCTTTGTGATATTATTGTCATATAAATTACATCTATATATAAATGAAATAATACAGTGTTGTAATTATTGTTTTATATACTCTTATGCCCTTTAAGGAAGTTAAGAGATGTGGGAAAGTATATTTATATATTTTTTATTTACCTATATATTTACCGGTTCTGGTATTCTTTATGTCTTTTTAAGAATCTGGATTACCATCTAACATCACATCCTTTCAACCTAAAGAATTTCCATTAATATTTTTTGTAAGACAGTTCTGCTAACAACAAATTCTCTCAGCCTTTGTTTATCTGGAATGGCTTTATTTTGCCTTTATGTTTGAAGAATTATTTTGCTGTATCCTTGGTTGAAAATTTTTTTCTTTTAGTAGTTTAAATATATTATCCTGTTGTTTTCTGTTCTTCACTCTCTGAGAAGCCAATTGTTAATCTTATTGTAGTATCCCTGTAAGTAATGAATTATTTTTCTCTTGCTGCTTTCAAGATTTTCTTTTTATTTATGTCTGCCGCTAATCTGCTATAATGTATCTAAATGTGAATCATGTTGTGATTATCCTAGTTGGAATTTACTGAGTTCCTTGGATATATATGTAAGGCAATGTTCATCAAAATTGGGAAGTTTTCAGCCATTAGTTCTTCGAAAAATTTTTTGTCTTTTTTTTCTCTTTTCTAGGACTTCTGTTTAGTGGTGGTTGTTTTGGCTGATTTTGTCCCACATGTTTCTGATGCTCTGTTAAATTTTCTTTAATTTTTTTCCATCTCTATTCTTCAGATAGGGTAATTTATATTAATAGCTTGTTGTTCACCTATGCTTTGTTCTGTCATCTCACATTTGATATTAAGCCCCTGAAGTGAATTTTTCATTTCATTGTTGTTATTTCCAATATCAGAATTTCCGATTGGTTCTTTTTTTTAAAATGAATTCTCTTAATTGAAGTTCTCTATTTGAGAACTTTAATTATACTTTAATTCTTTAAATATGACATATTAGTTTTTAGAACATCCGGTTTGAAGTCTTCTGCTAAATTGAACATCTGGACACAGAGAGAGGCAGTTTTTCTCTTAGTATGGGCAGGACTTTCTTAAAATGCACATCTCATAATATTTTGTTGAGTATTAGATGATTTTTTGTACCAACTTGGGATTCTAGCTTTACCTCCCCACCACAGAGTTGTTGTTTTTGTTTGTTTGCTCATTTAAAACTTGACTAATTTAGTAAAGCCTGTCTCTCTTGCAATGTGTAACTGTTGATATCTTTGCTCAGTTTTTCTTTTTCTCGATTTTACTTTTAAGTCTAGCTCTCATGATGTTGCCCCTGTGATTACATCACTTAATGTTCAACCAAATCATGGTCAGAATTTATGGTAAGATGTTTCAAGGAGTAAGAACTTCAATCTCTGCTGATAGATCTGTGTGGGCTGGAGTATGTATTCAAACTTCAGACCATTTTCTAATTTTCCTCAGCTTTTAATTTTCACTGGAGTTACTTATGTTTCCTCTGCACCTACACACAGACTCCATTGGCCATGGATGTGTGTGTGGTTTGGGTCCGCTCTGATCTCTGCTGTGCATACTCACGGCCTCTGGTCAGTCCAGGATAGAAAGATTGCTTATCAAGAACACTGTGATTAGGCCGGTGCTCAGCAAGGAGAGGGCCATGTTCAGTTCAAGCATGAAGATCCTGAAGCCCAATGGCGAGAAGCCGGACGAGTTCGAGTCTGGCACCTTTTAGCCATTCCTTGAGCTGGAGATGAATTTGGACCTCAGGACCCAGCTCTGGGAGCTGAATATAACAGCAGCCAAGGAAACTGAATTGGTGGGGATTGGAAAGCTATTATAATCTTTGTTCGTGTTCCTCAACTGAAGTCTTTCCAGAAAAATCCAAGTTTGACTAGTACACAAATTGGAGAAAAAGTTCAGTGGGAAGCTTGTTCTCTTTATTGTTCAGAGGAGAATTCTGCCTAAGCCAACTTGAAAAAGCCGTACAAAACAATGAGCAAAAGCATCACAGAAGCCACGCTCTGAGGACTTGCTTTTACCAAGTGAATTTGTGGGCAAGAGAGTCCACATGAAACTGGATAGCAGCTGGTTCATAAAGGGTCATTTGGATAAAGCACGGCAGAACTGTGTGGACATAAGGTTGAAACTTTTTCTGGTGTCTATAAGATGCTTACAGGCAAGGATGTTAATTTTGAATTCTCAGAGTTTCAGTTGTAAACAAAAATGACTAAATAAAATATTCACACACACAGAAGAGAACACTAGATTACCTTACCTTCCCAAAACTATTAAATCCCTGACTAGGCCACCAGTTCTAGCTCCTAACCCCCAATGTTGCCTTCTCCTGGGACCACCACTTTACATGGCTATGTTCCAAATCAAGTGAATTCCTTCTGGCAGCAGCAGCAGCAGGAGAGCTGTTGATTTCATGGCCTTTCCCACTCTGGTTGAATTATACTTGTGCTCATCTTAACTTAGATAGTTTTAATGACTAAACATTTCTCAGTGTTTGATATCAAAAGTGCCAAAATATATATTTTTTGACAGTTTTGTGTATGTGTGCATATACAGTTTCTTTTTAGGGGAGAAGACATTTTGACTGCCTCATTCTGTCATGTCGGAAGTTCCTGCTCTATACCCCTTTCATTTAAATTTGCGTGTTGTATCTGTATTTGGATTGTTTCTCATTGTTAAGATGAGTGTGAGTAAATAGTGAATTGTGAATGTAGAAAAAAATAAAGGAAATGAATACTTGTAAGGATTAGGACAAATTGGCTAATCAGATATCAGATATAAACTTTATTTTGTTAAATAAACCGTAATATTGGTGGCAGTGCTGATTGCTCTATATAAGCAGTACATTAATTTTTGCAGGAGATTCTAATTAATTCTTGTTGGAACAATTTGCTATTGGTTAGATTGGCTGATTTGGTAATCTCACTGGTGAAAACAAATAAAAGGAGATAAAAATAAATCGATGACAATAATTCAGGAAAGTTAATGATAGAATTCAGGAGAGTAAATAATTGAATAGCACATCTCTGTTCAGATGGTCAACATGGGTTTTGAATCCATGGAAAGTTTTCATTAAAAAATGTTTTCAGTTTGAGCTAGGTCTTGGAGGATGAGTAGGAGTTTATTTTGCCCATGAAGACATGCCACCTCTGTGGTGTATAGATGATAGAGGGCTTAAGGTGAAAGAGCAGGTGGAAACTTAACTCTAAAAGATCTTGTGTACCATGATGAGTGGTGAGAAGACTTGTTTTTAGGGAAGAGTTATTCTAAAAATACCTTAATTGATGTATAATAGACATACAATAAATTATACATAATTAAAGTGTATAATTTGATGTTTTTACTATTAAAGTTATTTATTTCTTCTTGAGTGATCTTTGGTAGTTTCTATATTTCAAGAAATTTGTCCATTACATTTCATCTAGCTAATTGAATTTATGGGCATAGAGTCATTAATAATATTTCCTTATTATCTCTTAAATATCTATAAAATTTGTATTGATATCACCTATCTCATTTGTGATACCGATGATATATGCCTTCCGTCTTTTTTTCTTGATCAGTCTGGCTTGTGGTGGTCTTCCAGTTCTCTCTTCCCAGTCTGTGCTATTGTTGTCATGTATTTTACTTCTACAGGTTATGGACTCTTCCCTGGATTGTTCTTATTTTTTACTTTAAACTGTAGACTATCTCTTAAAGAGATTTGAAAAGAGAAAAATTCTATTTACTCACACATTAACAGTTTCTGGGGTTTTAGCTTCTTTGTGTAGATCAAAATATCCATCCAGTATCATTTTCTGTTTGCTTGAAGGATATCTTTTGACATTTTTGTTTTCTCCTTTTGTTTTTGAAAATGCTTTATTTTGCTTTTATTCTTGAATGATATTTTCATGTTTATAGAACTCTTGGTTAGGAGTTTTTTTCTTTAATTACCTTAAAGATGTTGCTCTACTGTCTTCTGGTTGCAATGTTGTCAATGAAAAAAATCTGCTGCCATTTTTATGTGTGTTCTCTGTGCATTATATTTTTTTCTCGTTGCTTTTAGGATTTTTTTTTTTATTTCCAATTTTAAGCAATTTGATTTTAATGATGCTTGATGTCATTTTCTTTATGTTCCTTGTGCTTGGGGGTTCATTGAGTTTCTTAGACTTTCCAGTAACTTTGTAAAATTTTGTCCATTTTTTCTTAAAATACTTTTTCTGAATGTCTTTATTCTATCTTTTGGGACCTCCAGTTACCCATACATTAGGCAGCTTGAAGTTGTGCCACAGCTCACTGCTGTTCTATTAACTTTCTTCAGTTTTCCCATTTTTTATTTTGTGTAGTTTCTATTGATACATCTGCAAACTCAGTTATTTTTTCTTCTACAATGTCTAATTTGAAAATTCTGTCAAGTGTATTTTCTTTTTAGGCTGCAGTTTTCATCTCTAGAGGCTTGGATTTAGTCATTTTTTAAATCTTGTGGTTAGCTACTTACGTTCATTTTCTCTGCTAGCTTTTTGAACATACAAAATACAGTTATAAGAACTATTTTAGTGTCCTTGTCTATTAATTCTATCATGTATTTTGTTTATGGGTCAGTTTTGATTGAGAGTTTTCTTATTATGCATAGGTCTGTCTTCTTTATATTCTTGGCAATTTTTTATGAGCTATCACAGACATTGTGAATTTCATCTTGTTAGGTACTGGAGGTTTTTCTATTCCTGTAAATATTTTTTTAAGCTTTGATTCTGGGTGTTATTAAGTTACTTGGAAAGAATTTAATAACTTTGGGTCTTAGGAAGTTTTTTTAGACAGAGCCAAAGGAGGTTTTATTCTAGGGAAAATCTCTCTCCCATATACTGAGGTAAAACTCTTGAATTATGAGGTTTCCCAGTTTGTCTGGTGAGAACAGGAGCTTTTCACAATTCTGCATGAGCCTGAGATTGTTCTCCTAATTCTTTCAAGTGATTCTTTTCTTGGCTGAAGGTAGTTCCCTTACATGCATGCATTGTTGTTGAGAGTCTTCTGCAAATCTCCTAAATTCTCTCTCTGTATAGCTCTCTTCTCTCTGTTACTCCACCCTATGAACTCAAGACTCTGGTCTTCATGGATTCGCACATCTATTCTTTGACTTAGATAGACTGCCTTTGCTCTGCTTGAATTTTGCTTCTTTGTGCTGTGAACTGTAAACTCTCTGAAGGCATTAAGCTGGGGCATTTGTAGGGCTCATCTTGTCTGTTTTCTGTCACTCAAGGATCACTGTTTTCATTGCCTGATGCCCACAGTCTTTTAAACCATTGTTTCCACATTCATCTAGTTTTTTAAATTCTTTCAGGAGGGAAGGTAAATACATACCATGTCACTCCTTGTGTATTATAGATGTTAAGTATAATGCAAGCATAAATCTACCATGTTAAGTTTTGACTGCTCTTATTTAAATTCAGCGCATCTCCTATATGTGTGAGGTATAAGAAAATATCAAAGACTGAAGAAGACATTTTAATGTGCAGTGATTAATATGAATGATAGCTCTATATCTTCACCAATATCTGAATCTACCAAAAGAAAATTCACTGGCCCCAAATTCCTGTGTTCATTGTTGCAAGGGTACTTTATCTAATATTCTCAGAAGATAACTCACTTGATTAAATAGAATAGGATTTATATAGGTACTCAGAATCCTAGAAAATTTCATAAATAATGGCCCAAATATGGGTACAACAAAGATACTTTTATTAGAACTCACAAAATAAATTTTTATTTTCAGGGAGAAGTTGCTGAAGTTATATTTGTAGGTGCTAACCCAAAGAATTCAGCAGAAAACTGGGTAAGTATTGATAATTCTTTGTACAAATTTAAATTCACCTTTTAGCCTCTCATTCACTTGAATATCCCTATACAGTTTAACAACATGAAGATAAAATGTCTCAACTTGCTTTTCATCTGATTTTGCAGGTATGGAGAAATTTTCAGTGGAAACAGTTAATGTGGAACTGAGTCTGTACAAAAAGCACACAGGAAACATTTAACTGGTTCTGCCTAGGACCCCGCATAGCTCAATCCATAGAGTACTACATTGTCTCTTGAGAAGATATAAATTTGAATACAATCTTAATTTAAAAACTACTAAATTTGGTAACATAATCAAAGGGTCAAGGGTGAAGTGTATCTTTGTTTTTTTCCCACTCACCCTTTGGCTGCTCTCCTTCTCCTCTAGCACTGCTGCCTCTGGTCCTACATCTCCTGTTGGAATGACCATTGATCCCTGGGTGGATGCTCTACTGGCTTGGAGGCCTGATCCATGTGCTTTACTTTATCTTGTATTGTCCATTTCCCTACTCTTTGCTACAGTCCTAATAGGATATTTATTTATTAATCATGAAAAATGACACAAGAAATAGATGTTCAGTGCAAAAACAGATAATATAGAAGTGTTTAAGATAGAATGTAGAAGGACCCCACTTTCCATAAACCTTTTTAGAGATAATCACTGTTAATAGTTTGTTACATATCATCTCACTCTTTTTTGTTCTATTGTATATATGTATATATGACACACATGTACATATGATGAAGTATATGTCTGTATAAACCTATTAATAAAACTAAGTAATTTTACTCCTCTGCAGCTCCCTTAGAATATTCTTATAACTACATGAGCAATAACTAGACAATCTAGTTGTAAAAATTCAAACCATAAAGAAATATAGAAGAAAAAGAGAATGGGTATATGAAAGTGATTTTAAGGTCAGATTTTTTTTTACTATGACTGAGGAAGCATTCGCTCTATTGATAAGCTATTCTAACCAGGGCCCATTGTCACTTATAACCCAAAATACCTTTCTTCCAAATGAGTCTTCCCATTTCTGCTCATTAAAATATTATTATTGCTGTGAAATAATTATGGCAATATGACATTGTCAAAAAGACATTGGAGAAAAGTGTTCTACTGCTTGGATAATTAACATATACCTGTTTGAAATAATTTCTCTAGGCAGTCAAGCTGTGCCGGAATATTTACATGTTTATAACATTATTTTAATATTGACATCAGACTATTGTAGTAAAACTGCAGAATTTGCTGTCATTTGATATTTTTAGGGTGGAGAAATACTGTCACCATTATTGCCATGGAGAAGCAAGAGAACAAAATACTCAAAGCACTATAGCAAGAATAGAATTAATTTCTAAGAATGCTCTGGGACTAGGCATAAAACAATTTTTAGTGCCCTTCATTAGTAATAATCACATCCTCACCACTGTTACTGAATGCTTACTTTTGTAGGTACTAGACTAAGTACTTTACATACATTATCATATGAATCTAATTTAATCTTCACTACTACCCAATGAGTTCTGTTTTATTATCCCTATTTTACTGAGGCCTAGAAAGATTAATAGCTTGTATTAACTAATTGTGTATCTGGAAAACATTAAGGTTGGGAGGTGGAGGAAAGGATAGTCACAACTTATGTATGCAGTGGCCTAGACTTGTTCTCAAAACTGTACTCTAGACCTATACATGAGGGCCCACTCTATCTCCTAACCCATTTATGGTCTCCCCAATGTCGCTCTGCCCTAAATGGCCAGAAATAGCTCTCTTTACAAGTCGCTGTGGTTATGAAAGCTTCTTTATTGAATATAATTGAATATCAGTTGAGTAATTAGAGAAGAATTTGAAATGATCCCATGGTACAGCTGTAAATGAGTGATCCTTTCAGCAAAGTTTTATTTGAACACCTGTAAATTGCAGGTGTAAGGGGTTATGATGGATAAAGATGATTTAGAGATAAGTTGTATCCCTAATGGCCACAATCTAAAGAATTTTGTGGAAAATTTGAGATTTAGGGGCTTTGTATCTTTTAATTTGTTATATTATTCTAATTCGTGCTTCACTTGAAGCTAAATTCTTGGTCTGAAATAAATTATTATAGCAATTTTCCAATGGAAAATAAACTTTGCTTATGGTATGGTTTCTAGAAATCTATTATGAAGAAATACAGGAATTGCTTTTAGCACCTCAGGACAAAGAAAATTTATACATTCTTTTTAATTTCTTCACTCAGGGAGGTATATTTACTGATAAATCATATACATGAAGATAGAAAGATGAGAAAACTTTCCCATTTCCTTCCTAAATCTTGAGGTGACTAGAGAACATCTTGGAATGTAGATCAATAAACATATCATGAAAGGTTTGACTTGTGCCTTTTCTAAATCTCAAGTTTTATTCTGTCTCTTCTTTGCCCTAATTTCTAAAATTTGCTATCAGCTCTAAAATTATGCTTCATTCAACTTTCTAAAAAAAAGTCATGGTTTTTAATAGACTAGATAAATTGATATTCTGAAGACATTGCATAGAATGTTAAGAGGAACAGCTAAGAATTTGGATGGAAATTCTAAATCATTTTCACATAAGCCATTGGTAGATTTGCATACAGTCAACAAGCGGAGTATTTGCAGACAGGTTCCTTCTGTGACTGTTCAGTGTGTGATCAGTTTTATTAATTGCATTTCAGACCCATCAGACTTTCCTCACTGTGGAGAAATATGAGGCAACTTCAGCAACATGGCAGATAATGCATAATGATGCCTCCTGGGAGACTCGGTGAGCATGTCTACTGAATATTTTGTCATTCAAGCCTTGAAAACCGTTGGTTATTAATGCAGAGAAGAAAAATGGGAAGACTAGCTCAATACATGATATTAATGATTTCAAATCCCCAAGAAGTCATCTGGCCATATTTAGTTAATTTATTAGACTTCATTTTGATTCTATTTTTCTACAAAACAGTGTGATATGTGCTTCTGTAAGATTAGGTGCTAATGAGGTTGTAGCCTCCATGCTTATAAACATCTGTTAATTTAGTATTTTTTTCACGGTCATACATATCACCCCTAAAACTGTCTAGCTTTCTTGCAAATTGGTTGGAAGGAGTGCTGGATGAAGGTGTTGAGATAACTCTGTAGATCCTGACATTCCTTCTGGGAAAATAATGAGTCATTAGCCAACATATATTGTGTATTTATATATGGTCAACGATTCTTCATTTGAATTACTAAAGCATGAGAAGCTTGAGTGTTTAAGTCTTACGGACTAAAGTAAGAAAGAAATATGTTCATGGAGTTTCTTCAAAGAGACATATATATCTCTGTACCTTTATTTTTGCCAAATACTGAGCTGATCAAATATTTTAAAGTTTTGAAAATGTGTCTAAAATAAAATGTCACTGTTCTCAATTTTATAAATTTTACCACAGGACAATGGCATGAAAATGGGCAAAATTTTTGTCAATTTGTTTCTAATTTAGATCATCTCTAACTGATTATTTGTATGTTGGTTCGATTCACATGGTTAACTAAAATAGAGATTTGATCATGTTGTGGCCCAATTGATAGCAATATATAAAATATGGGCATAATTTTTCTTTTGATCTTCAGGGTTCTAGAGTATGGGTGATTTTTTAAACAAGTCATAAAAACATATTTATTGTTAAAAAAAGGTTATACAGATAATAAAAAAAGAATTATTTTTTTTCAAAAGCCCCAAATCAGAATAGCAGTCAACATCGAGGATATGTGTAGGCCTCTGCCTTGTTCATCAGCAGCAATGCCATCAACTATTCATTGAGAGCACTGGACTTATCACTGAGAAACACAGAATGTCGAGGGGTTTACCCTCTACATACCTGAGGCTATCAGTCAGTTAGCCTAACTGTATCTCGAAGAGCATCTGAACCCACCATCATGGTCTACAAGGACCCATGTGATCTGACTTCATCTGTTTCTATCATCCCAACTACTCTCTCACGGTTTACTGTGCCCTAATTCTACTGATCTGCATTCTGTTCCTTGGCTGTACCAAGTTTGTTCCAGCTTCAGACACTGCATTCTGTGTTCCCTCTTCCTAGAATATTCTTCCTCTAGACGTTGTGGGTTCAGTTCAAGTGACATTTCTTTAGAGATACCTCTGTCTTACTTTCTTCATTTCATTTATCACTTGTAAAACTATTTGTGGTTTACTTGCTTATTGCCTTTCTTCTGTCATTGAGAAACACAGAAACTTTGGACCATGTCTGTCTCGCTCACTACTGTCTCCCCAGAATCTCTAGAATACAGTCTGGCACATGTGCTCATTAAATACGTATTTTTAACAATTGAATCTACATGTGAAAAGAAGTGTCAGTTGAAGCAGAGGATAACAAGGGCTAAAAGGATGCTTTAGGAGTTCTAAAGCAGGAGACGACTGTGTTCTGAATATCAGGTAAGGCTTCCTAGGTTGGTTAAAGTTTAGGTAGTTAGGTGGAACGAGTAAAGGTATTTCTTCTGCAAATGGCTCTTCATTAAAGGTTTTCTTCCAGAAAGTAAGTATTTATCTCTGTTTTGTTCATTGCTATACTCTCAATATCTAGACCAGTGCCTTATTTATGGTAGGTGCTCCCTAAATATTCATTTAATGAGTAATACATGTTTTTTAATCACACATTTTAAAGAGTAAATTTGGGTTTGTCTGTTTGTTTCCTACCAACAGTTTCTATTGGCACAAGGGATTACTGGGTCTTAGCAATGCAACGATACAATGGCATATCCCAGATACTGCCCAGCCTGGAATCTACAGAATAAGATACTTTGGACACAGTCGGAAGCAGGACTTTCTCAAGCCCGCTGTCATACTTTCATTTGAAAGCACTTCTTCCGTTTTTGAAGTTGTAACTACTTAGTAAAAAGTCGACAAATCATTTAAAGAGCAGTTCTGCTCTGTATAATTTATATGACTGATTTCATGTGAATGTAAACTATTATGACTTCCATAAATGTCCCAGTTTGGGAAAAGATAGTTTACTGCTAATGGGACAGAGGAGTGTGTGTGTGTGTGTGTGTGTGTGTGTGTGTGTGTGCGCGCGTGTGTGTGTGTGTGATAAGTTTGTGATGATATGTGTATCCCATTCACCTTGCTCTAGCAGCTTTGTATCTCATGGTCTACAGCATGATCTCCCTTGGGACCTTGTGGCTATTTAAAGGAATAGTTCCCCTAACATAAAACTGAAATGTTAATAAGAGTGGTTGAAGATGTGTGAACAAAGTTTAACTATTTATTTATAGAATTATTGAATGTTAGCATTGGAAGTTTTAATAGATCATATAGTTTGATCCTTCATTTTACAGATGGGAAAAATAAAGTTTCATGGATTTAAGATTAGCATAAGGCTACAGGACCTTTCCCCGCAGTTACATTTAAAAATAATATACAAACATTGACCATAAATATATAAGCCCAATTAGAGAAAAGTAGCATGAAAATTAGTGTTCCAGTTCTTCTACTGAGCACAGCCTTTCAAAGCAGTCGCTTTAGAGTTGATATGCCTAATCTAGATTTGTTGTTGATACTCAAATCATTTCTGGAATTTCCCTGAGAGCTCAATTACAGAAAGTCAGACTTGCAATATTTTGATCATGCTTTTTGTTTCCTTAAGTGCCCTTATTCTACTAAATTGTGTCTCTTATTCACAAGATTTTTTGACTGTTTCCACCACATTCACCCCTAAACCACAAAGCTTTGCCATTAGTGTAGATATTAAAATGAAAGTGGTATTGGCTTGGAAGGGAGTCTTCAAAGGGGAGGCTCGAAATTCATTTATTTGTTCTTTAATCACTCACTCACTCTCCCTCTCTCACTCACTCAGTCATCATTCAGTCATAAAATATTTAAAACTTACTCTGATACCAGCATTGTACAAGTGTCTGGTACAAGGACACTTAGTGAGATCAATTAGTAAGATCATATTTGGGATAAATATGTAAGAGTCAAATGGTGACTATTTTGAAGGAGAAAACCATCAATTCGATATATAAATTCTGGGGAGGGATATAAAAATTGGTAATCTTAAAGTCACATCTTATATCATTTGTGCTAGGTACTCTAATTTTGGGGGAAAGAGGCTCCAGACAATTTGGAAAAAGCTGTTTTGAAAGTTTTGGGGGGGCATTATGAAATATTCAGCCTAATGTCCCTAAGAATGAGATATGGCAGTCTGACACTGATTGCTGAAGGTACTAATTGCATCTAAAATTATCCAAGTTAAGTAGGTGCTCCCAGGCTGCAAAGGAAATTATCAGAAACCAAGTCATGCTTTTGTAAGTGTGTGAAAGATTTAGCATTTTAAGGAAAAATCAACCTTTATTTCAAAAACAAACTTTAAAGTTTGAAAATAGTATGATATTAATAATGATAATATTAACATCCACTTATGTAACACTTAGACATGCTGTATTGCACTAGAATGAACCTGGAACACTTTTTGATGAATCTTTACTCAGGCTGTTTCTGTGGAAACTAATAGCTGGAAATTAGCTAATCCGAATTCCAAAAGGTGTAGTGATCATTTTTTCCTAATGACCTCACAGTATTTAGTGAGAAAGTTCAGAGGCCTGAAAGAACAGGTAATTCTGAAAGTAATTGATCTCAGACACATAAGTTACAGTAGAACTCATGATATAATTTTAAAGAGTATTTCTCATGACTCAGAAAATTTTTCAAATGATTTTCCACCACATTCATGCTCCTCATTGAAGCTTTTTCCACCACCTTCAAGCTCCTCATTGAAACAATACCTTATTGTTTACTTGCAGCTGTGCCAAGGCAGCCATTGTATTGCCTGCTGATGATCCTTCTGTACCCCACCCCCTCTCCACCAGTACTCTTTGCCCCAAATAACCCACAGAAACCTGTTTCCTCACTAGCTGCCATCTCTTCCAGCTCATGCAGTTCCATTTCTACAGTTTTTATACAAAAATAAGACAAGGTCCCTGCATTATATTCACTGGAGCACAAAGAATCCCATGAAGAGGCTGATCTGATATGTTAATATAAAAACATAGATACAATCTGTGTCTATGGCTGCTGCTATGAGTGGCTCATTGGAGAAAACTCCTGAAATTAGTGGAGAATGTAGAGAAAAGGGGATTGGGTTGGTGAGAGAATTGTTTTGGAGAAGATTTTCCTTCTCATTTCAAAGTGTCTGAGTTTTATTTGTTGTACTCTCTCTAAATTTTAAGGATGCTGTGACTTCTTCAAAAAGTACTGAATGATCCTTCTATATTTTTCAATGAGTATTATGTAAATTATCAATATTCAATAGAATGTTTAATAATAAATTAATAATTACACTTGGGAAAGTATTTTCTAATGACAGATGATATAGACAAATGAACACTTTTTTTTTTTCTTTTTAAGAGGTGGAACAAATGGTGATGGATTCCATTCCATGTAAATCAGGTTGGAAAATGGTATAAATGACCTTTGTAAGTAACCACCCAAACATAAGGGAACCACTTCATCAGTTCCTTCCTGCCCTCCACAGATTTACTGCTGACAAAATACATATGGTTGGCATTTATTACTACTAGGGCAACTGAGAGTTTTCTAGGTATGTGATTAATTGAAAAATTGTTTTATGAGCTAATTCTGAACAAAAAAGCCAAGAATGAATATACTTCTAAATATCTTTTCCCCATTTACCCTCTTAATGCTTCTCCTCCAATATAAGCATGCATATGTCTTTTTCTAATATTAGCATATGGATTTCATCTTTAGCAAAAAGATTTTGGTGTTAGATGATTCTTTCATATTTTCAGTTCTTCCAAATGTTTTTGGTTCCTGGGTATCCCAGTCTAACCTGATGGTTTGTACCTGCTTTTGGAATTTCATGTAGTATAGTATGCCAGAGAGGGAAATTGGCATATTCTCCATACTGCTAAGTAGAGTGCAGACAGCTGTAAGTAACAAAATATTCCTGATCAACAGGAGTCCAAACACTAAAAATATTTACAGTCTGCCATAGTAATAATTCTTGAGGTGACAAATTCAAGTTTAGTGTAGCCACTCATTGATGTCACTGGCTTTTTCTTAACTTATCAACTTTAATTCTTAGTCTTTTCCTCTTAGTCTATATTGTATATTATAGTGTATATTTCCTCTTAGGCTATATTGTATCTTCATACAATTACATGCAGCAGCAAAAAGGAAGAAGAGAGTTCTCTTCAAACCTTTTCTTTTTTGTAGAAGGTAGAAAATAGTAGAAACACAAGTAGAATTTCCCTTATATTTTCTTGTCCAGAATTGTGTCTCGCAGCTTCAAGAAACGCTGAAAAAGATAATATGTGGTATTTTCTGCCTCTAGAGAGGATGCAAGTTTCGATAGCAAGAAAGAAGAGATGGTGGAAGTAGCTGTTCTCTAAGTGAGTCAGCCAAACTGAGTCTGTTGTGCTACAATATTAGAGATTTATTTCTTGATTTCACCATATGTTCATTGGGGTCAGCTGGAGAATTTTTTCATACTGCCTCACTCAGGGACTCATTCTGACTGATGCTCTTATTCAACACATGCTTCCATGGTTGGAGAAGTGGACATGGGGAATCATGCACCAGCTCCTAAAGCTTCCACCTGGAAGTGACACATATCACTTCTCATATTTTGTTAAGTAAAGGAGAGAAGCAGTATACTTGTGATTAGCTTTAATGGTTACCACAACAGGCAAGCAATAATATCTGCATATCCAACTTAATAGCTCTTTGCAATAATTGAAACTAGTTTTATCCTAGGAAATGTAGTTTAGAAAAGAATATGTCTTGAAACCCTGATGATGATAGTACTTGCTGTCTCCATTGCAAAATGTTTGCATTCATTTGACAAATTTCTATAGATTGTCTACATAATTTGTGGCAGGCATTATGCTAATCCCTAAGGATACAATAAAGGCACAGTAAATTCCTATCATCAAAAAACTTAGAGGTAAATGGAAGAAGAGCAATTCTGTATGGAGTGACCCTTACTACCCCAGTAGTTTAGGGTATTAAAGATGGTACTTTATATGGTCTTAGGGATATTGCAGTAGATTTCCTGGAAGAAATAACATCTAAGCTAAGACCTAAAGGATATAGCTAGGAGAAAGGTAATAGACAAAGAGAGAAAGAGAGAGAGAGAGAGAGAGAGAGACTACGTGTGTGTGTGCGTGTGTGTGCATGTATGCAAGACAAGTAGACTATTCTAGGAAGATGGAATATCAAGCAGTTTATCAAGGCTATAGTTAGAGTACAAGGGAAGAGTGGTCAGAGATATAGCACTGAAGTTTGTCTTCATTAATAGCAATTTGGTTTTATATTTGTATTATTATTTTCCCCCTTGAGACTCTTCATGTATAACATAAAGTGCTTGAATGTATTTTTCCTTGCTATACTAATGAAACACATTTTTTAATAACCAAGAAAACTGATTTTGGTTTCCAGTCTCCAGTGAACTAAACTGAGTATCACCCTTCTGTCTTCATGGACTATAACCCTGTCTCTTGGAATTAAATTTATCAAAAGAATTCTTTCGCTTCTGTCCATCTCATGTTTCTAAAACTTGATATCTTTTTGCTTTTTTATACTTACTAAGTTGGCAAGTACAGCCAATAAAGACCACTGTTTCCTTTTAGATGGAGTCCAGAGTTCCAACCTATATATCATAAGTATTTATAAATATTAAAAAACTAACCCACCCACATTAACTTCAAAGTACCTCGGCATGCATATAATTTGAAGTTATCAGAGACCCAGCCTTTGTTGATTTTTTTTTGGCTGGACTAGAAGACTAGGATATCGACTCAACAGTAGTCAGAAGAGGACAGAAGATCTACCATCCCATTGCCTGGACTCAGATGTTGAGAAAGTTTGACTTGA